CTTTAAGCTATTACTAATTGCTATTTTTGCTCTTTTTTTTGACATTATTATATATTCTTGAAAGTAAAAAAAAAACTCTATGGCAAATTTAAACCTTAACCAAGACAAAGCCTTGACGACAGCGAAGCCTCAACCCTAAATATGGCAAAACTTTCAAGTTAATCATAGTGAAACCTTGGCTCTGAACATGGCAAAACCTTGGCCCTAAACATGGCAAAACCTTGGCCCTAAACATGGTGAAACCTTGACTCTGAACACAGCGAAACTTAACCTTGATCATGGTGAAATCTTGACTGGCGAAACCTTGACCTTGACCATAGCGAAACTGACCTTGATCACGGCAAAACCTTGATCTTGACTGCAATGAAACCTTGACCACGGAGATGTACCTGTTGTGAAAATTTGACTGCAGCAAAATTTGGACACAGATTTTTATAGCAAAACTTGAAACATAAAAAAAACCTTGATTATAAAGAATTTATGCACGGTAAATTTAACTGTACTTACAGAAAATTTGAACACAGTAAAACTTTAATTAAGGCCAAGCTAAAAATTAAACGCAGAAACTGACTATGTAAAGCTTGGTTGTTGCAAAAACTTCTAAGTGCATAAAAATTTTTTTTGCAAATTTATAGGTAAGAATTTATCTAACCAATCATAGTTAAATATTTATAGCCAATAAAATCATACATATAATTTGTGATTTTAAAGAGGTAAATTAATTAATAAATTTGTATAAACCTATTTAAAAAGAGTGTGATAGTGATTGTAGTATGATTGTAATTATATAAAGAGATTTTTAATATAATTTAGACAAACAGATTTGTTTGTGTGATTGTATAGAATTTGTAATTACATAGAAGGTGATTGTAGAGGAGACAACTATAATAAAAAAAAAGAAAATCTTTACTAAATTTATTTTACAAATTTTTTTTTGCAGAATTTTTGTATTTTTCTTGATACCTTTTTAAGCAGGCCTTTGGCTAGCAAATGTCTTTTCAATAAAATACCATTGAAGATTACTTCAAGATTTTATGGTTCTACTAGGTCTTATTGAAAATTTTATTTTTTTTATGCCTTTTTCAAGCAAGCTTTTTTTGTCTAATGAATAATTTTTATATAGAACACTATTAAAAATCGCTTCAAGATTCTATGGTTCTACTAGGTCCTATATCAAAATCCCAACACTCAAACAAGAAAAAATTTTTACAAAATTTATTTTTTTTATATCTTTTTCAAGCAGACTTTCTTTATCTAATAAATGATTTTTTAATAGAGCACTATTAAAAATTGCTTCAAGATTCTACTGTTCAACTAAATTATATCAAAATCCTAATACTTAAAATCCCAACACTTAAAAATCTTAACACACAAAATTCTAACTGTTCTACTATCACATACAAGAATCAGATCACATTTCTAATATAACAATTATTTATTTAATCATTACTCTTCCACTTTGTTATACCTGACATAT